TTTTTTTTTTTTTTTTTTTTTTTTTCTCTTTTTCCCCCAAGTAAATATAAGGCCTTTTGATTTTGAGTTCTTCAGGATTAATCAATGTCTATTTTCTTCTTTTCCAACAATCAGTGGTTAAAAAATGCCCTTATTAAAAAAAAAACACAAACCTTATTTAGTCCATCATGTGATAGCAGAAGTGTAGTGGTCAGGGAGGAGACGGCGGCAGGTAAGGCAGTAATAACGCTAAAAATAAAATGGTTATGCGCGACGAAGGGAGCACGGCTGTGAGTTGCAGGCAAAATTGGCCTGGCCCGTCTCGGCTGCATTGCTAATGGCCGTCAGGCGCCTGCGGGGCTTCTGTGCAGAGGTCCGGGGCGCCCCAGAGCCACAAGGAGGCCTGCGGGGCAGCGCCCGGATCCCACTACGGCTGGGTCATTTCGACTCTGCAGCTGCAGTGCGGCGGCCGGCATTCGTCTGACAACGCCCAAAGTAACCCAGACGAGCAGTGTAGGGGACCGACATCCCGACACATTTTCCCGGTGTTCGGATAGCCGCGCAGGGGCCTGCGGCCGGTCGCGCACCTCCTCCGGCCTCCCTCGGCGGGGAGGCGGGTCTGTGTGAGGAGTAGGCGGTGCAGCGTGGCCCCGCCAGGGTTGAGAGGGAAGCGGGACAGAAGGTGGTTGGTGGGGGCTAGTTGCCCTCAAAAAGCTGCTGAGCAGCGAGCAGCCGACTAAGCCAGTTGTGCCTCTGTCTGGTGGAGGAGTGGTGCAGGGTTGGTTGGGCAGAGACAGTGGCGCGAGGGGCCGCAGTGGCCCGGCAGATCCCAAGGCAGCGCCCGTCCCGAGAGCATGCGGCGGCAGGAAGAGGAGTGAAGAGCTGTGGCTGCGCCTCTGTGTCGTCTTCTCCCCCCTCGCCAGGTCTTCGCTCTCGCGGGCTTAGCGCGGACTCCCGGATCAAAATGGAGCCGTTTCCCAGTGGTGAGTACCGCGGCAGGGCCGTGCTATAGACGAGCACACCCCGAGCTGGCGGCAGAACCCGGGATGGGGACGTGCGGCCTCCCCGCGGCAGGCTTAGCCTGCCATTCCTGGCAGAGGTGCTCCCGGGTCGGCCCCCACGCCACAGGGCCCAGACGCAGCTAGGGCTTCTAGCGGAAGCTGCTTGTCCAGAGGAGGCTTATTAGCCGTGCCGCCCCCATGGTCCGCGGCTTGAAAACTACCTCAGATCTTGTTTTGTTTGGGTTAATTATAACCACAGGTCTTTTAACTTGGAAGGTGAGAGGAGGCTCCGTCTCTCATTTGGTACTGTTGTACGTTTTATTGCCCGGCCGTAATCTCATGGTGGCATATCACGGGTAATACGAAGCCCCGGCAACTTCTACACCAAGGTGTGGTCTCGCTCCGAGGAAGGAGCCTTATATGCGTCTGAAGTGCCAAAGCCATCATGACTCTGATGGGAAGGAGGAAACAGTTCTGTTTATGCCATTTGCCTGATTGAGCGACTCTCAACAGTGTCTACTCCCAGCTAGGGAAAGGAGAAATAAAAATACAGGAGTATCTAGGATATTTGAAACAATGTTTCAGTGTGTTCCTGGAAGCCAGAAAGCTTTCAGAACTGTCCGTGCTTTGTCAGAAATGCTTGAAATAACTGTGTGGTTGCAGGTGTGAGATAAGCATACAGGAGCATTCGTTGACTTTGTGATACAGCACTGTGTGTGAATCCCACACTTGTGACTGAAATGAAGCCATGTCAATTCCGTGTTACTACTGCCTGCATCTGTATTAGTAAGACAGGACAGAGGAGGAAATGAAGCTCTCAGATCAAACTGAGACTAAAGTATGTTTGGTTAGAGTCAAGACCATAACCAAATAAGGAATTGGGACAAGACACCGTTTAAAGAGCCTTCCTGTTGAAAATGCAGAGGTTTAGTTACAGGGGGGAAGGATTTGGTCTGTTAAATGACAATACTGGGTAGACATAACTAAAGCAGGGGTAGAGTTTGCTACATTATATTTTTAACTCCTCAGTGATCTGCCAAATCATAGTACAAAACTACCAAGTTCAGGAAAACCTCACGCAGTAAAAAGTAAATTTTCTTTTTCACTTGAGAAATATATTGTCATTGCTTTGTGTCTCCCTTTTCTCAAATACACTAAAATTTCCCTATCCTTTATATGCTGCTGTTTAGAATCTCAAGATTATGAGCTCTGGGCATATTTTTTTTAGTAGAAAGATGGACCTTTTTCTTCTTTTTTTTTTAAGATTACACTTCTATTGAGGTTTTTTTTTCTGTCTGTACAGTTTGTACAACAGTAGAAGGTCTTTCAACGAGAATTTATTACAATCACAGGATTGTAATCTGCCTTCCTACATGCATGGTAAACAGACCTTGTCTTTAATAGTAATGCAGTTTTGGGAAGAATTTTTTTTAAACTAATCTTGTTAAGTCCAGTCCCTTTGAGAGACAGCCATCATGTTTATATCCCTTTAAAAAGTCTGTTTGATATAATACTGTTACTGCATTATGCAACAAAACATTAAAAAAAATCACTTTATCTATGCAACTGGAAGAAATGTCAGTGTGGGCCTGAGCTCAAATATATTATGTGCTACTACTGAGAAGCAATGTTCATGCATCGAGCTTCCTAGTTTTGTTTCTTGATGTGAAAAGTCTGGAGATGATGGTGAGACTGATTGGAAGAAAATTTGGAGCTAAAGCTCGTCAATAAATTCTCTACAGAAAGCTGTCCCTTCTTTAAAGGACACTAAAGAGAATGTGCAAATATTAGAGCATAGATGCTGCTTGTCATTTTGATAATGTTGGGGCATGTTTTGTTCTCAGTAGCAGCTGATAAAATCTGAAGCGAAGAGGATGCTTACTATTGGGTTTTGAATAGAGTTTACGTTTCCATAGCTGGTGGTCTGGAAGGTTTTGTAGACATCAGATGTTTCAAATAAACTGTGCTTCCTGGCAATTGAAAGGTTTTTTTGTGTTGTCTTACACAGTAGTAATGAGTTCTGTTTGTGAGTCTGTATGTATTTTCCTGTGCAAAATGCCATGTAAATTCAGGGGAAAAGATTGCTATTGCAGGAAGCTTACAATATTATATTTGTAGCTCTTCAGTTCTTTGGGGTTTTTATCCTTGCAAAACAGAGGGAACAGACTGAATGTTAATATTTTCCAAAAGCATTTCAGTTCGATTCAGGACTCCAATGCCCAAATTTCTTGTTTTACTTTATGGATGTAGAGCTGTGTCAGAATGGATATGTATCTTAAAATAGTCTCTAAGGCAACAAATCCACTAAAGTACATATGGAAGATCACTGTTTTTCTAATTCAGTATTTGGTGTCTTTTTTCTTTTCTTTATTTAAAGCAAAAGCACATCCATAATTCATTTCAGAAGTCAAAGAAACTATTATCCTTTCCTTTAGATGCTTGTGGGTGTGCTGAACTTTTTATTGTTTGAATAGTTTCTCCAGTGGAAATACTCAGATAACCTAAATAAAGGTATTTAAGTTGTTTGTTTTTTTTTTGTTTGTTTTTTTTTTTTTTTTTGACTTCAACCTTATTCCTGTACTGGAATCTTAGTTCCAGTCCTCTTTGGAGAGATCACTGCTATGCCTTCCCTTTTGCCCAGTTTATTTGGAGATAATGTGTGAGGTCCATAGCTCCAGAAAAACAGTTAATTGCAGATCTATTTTTAGGACATGAGTAAATCGTACAATCATAGAATATTTCAAGTTGGAAAGGACCTGTAGGGATCATCAAACCCAATTCCCTGCTCCTTGCAGGACTACCTAAAACTAAACCTTTAACTCTGACAGGCTTGATGCCATGACCATTTCCCTGGGGAGCCTGTTTCATTGACTGACCACCTCTCCGTGAAGAACCTTTTCCTAATGTCTAATCTAACTTCCACTAAATGTTATAAATGTAGTTAATTAATAAATGTTTTAGAAATGATTACTGATGAGATTTTATTTTTTGAGACAAATTCCTCTATTTTACATTTACTATTCTTAATTTGAGACCTTTCCAGAAATATGAATAATCGAAGTAATAAAAGTGCATGGAAGACTTCCTTGTTGTTGCACATTTTTTTTTTTTCTAAGTTTAACAATCTCAAATTCCACTGAATTGGGAATTGCAAATTAATGAGCAAAATTTATTAGTTCTGACTAGTCATTTGTTACTAAACAGTTTCACTTAAACCAAAAGAAGTGAAATACTGACTAAAAGAAATATGTAATTTGGGACATCTCTTTTGGACAATATTACAAAATATTTTAGATTGTATGGGGTTTTTGAAAGATCATTTCACCATTTCCTGTTAATACATCAAACATGGAACTTTTCCATTTCAGATGAAAGGAAAAGGTAGAAATAAGCTATTACAGTGTTTCTCACTTAAGACAGGTGATATGTAAAACAAGTAACCACAGAAGGTTTAACTTGTGATCATCTGCTGAAATGCAAATAACTCACTTTTACTACATTCGTGATTTTTTTTTTTTGTTTCTTTATGCATCAGATGGAAACTTTGAAATAAATAACATAACTAAACTGATGAACAAAATAAAAAGTCTCTCATGGGAAGGACTAGGGGTTTTTGTAGAAATAAACCAAGTTAGGTAATGTCATTTATAAAATGAAAAATGTCATTTGCACAATTAAGTTATTTCAGGTGGTTCCTGTCAATTCCAAAACGTTTTCTTTCTTTATGTTAGTTTTGTTCAGAATATAAATGTGTGGGAGATTGCAGGAGCATATTCTGTGTGCATAGCCTAAGTCTTTTGGGGGCAGCAGGCATACCCTTAACTCTCAATATTGTGTACTTCTGTGTAATGGAGCAGAAGGGTTCCTGTTTGTTTAAACAGTAGTATTCAGTCCTAAATAACAAATTTGAGTAATCTGTTTTGGCGAGTTTAGATTTAAAAAATCTAAGAGGTCTGTTCTCAGTGTCTCTTTTTCCCCCCATGTTTTACATATCCCAGAATTTTACTTTGTCAAGTATTACTGACAGAAAAAAATGCTGATTGTATCTGTTTCTATTGCTCAAGTTCATGTTTCTGGGTAGTATTTTTCCACCAAGCCATGCTGTAGCATCTGTATCTTGTGCTCCTGTGTCAACTAAGCTAACAGGACAAGTGTTTTCTCAATGAGTTTCGATAGGTATTTTCTTTTACTGCATTTCCGTGAACTCCATGTATAGCAATAGATGCTGAGAAATGAGTTCAGTAATTTGGATGCAGTCTGTATAGCTGAGAGAGTGATCATCCCTCTCTGGTCTCAGTTCATGTATATACACTTACAATCTTTCTTTTGCTGGCACTTTACTGTACAAGCTGGGACCTGGAAGTATTATCATTAGATCTGCAACAGAGGTACTCGCATTTTGATGATAAGAATAATGAGGGAAATAGGTGAACATATAAAGAGAGAAAGAACTTAATCTGTTTGAAATGTTTTGTTTTGGTGAGACTAATCACTGTGCATTGGAAAATCTTTTTCTCTGTTAAAACTGTGTCTGAAGAGCAGAGTATAGATGTTCACTGTGGATTGTTTGCTAGTATTTTTCCACTAAGGAGATGGTATTCCACTTACAGAATGAATGAAGACACTGAGTATCTGCATGATATCTCACAAGTCAAAAATGTTAAAAGCTCATGTTGATCTCAGTATCCACCTGTAAGAGTATTCCAGGACTGTCTTTTCTTTTTGGGGAAGATGATACAAAGCCCAGCTTGTGACACTTGTGAAACTGTGTGCACATGTGCTACATAAAGCTGCATAATGACTGCCATAGAAGATGCCGAAAACTGATAAAACACTTCTATTTAACTGATCAGAATGTTTTTTATCTTTGACTGGTATAATAATTGCCTATGAAGAAGCTGAATTTACCTTTATTTAATGCATGTCTCTGATTTCAGTAGTGATTTCATCTGTATTCAGATAATTCAAGTTTTCTTTTTCCT